ATACGACATTTTTATATGTACAATAATTTTAAAATTGGGGTTGAATCGTGAGAGGACGGTGCGGCCACACAACCCCAGGTTGTGGTTTCCATTATAGATCTTTAGCCTCCCCTGTCCCTCCCCTTCCCGTGGATCTGATTCTCAACACTCCGACATCCCCCCTCCTCCCTGTCTCTCCTCCCAATCCTCGGTAATTTACACTCAAGAAAGGTCATATCTTCGCAATTTCTTCATCCCTGATCATATACCAATCTTTCTGACTATTTCCCATCCCTCTATGGTGATTAATTTTCTCTTGATTTCGAATTCGAACCACCTTCTTATCCACCGCCAATCTGTTTGTTTGTTCCGAGATTAAGAACCCTTTATTGGTATCTGTTTACCACCACAAACACCAAAACAAAACGAAATCACAAGCTATACAGGACTACCGGGAAGAGTACCCGACATCTTCGCAGGCTAGATCGTAATCGTGAATGGAAGAGAGAGAATTGGAGAAGTAAAAAAAAATTATAAAGTTGGAAAGGAATGCTATATCTGAAGCAACCAAACTCCATGTGTTCGGGGTTTTGTTACTGGGCAGAGTCTATATACAATTAAACAGCCGCAGGGTTGAATGTTCTTCTGATTTGATTTTTCGAACCGAGCCCTGTGGAGGAGGCTCGGATCTGGATTGGACAAGCATCTGATAGGAATACCAATGGCGACAGATAATGAGCATATCTCCCCTCCTTTTGAGGAACCGATACCATGCTTCTCTCTAATGCCCGGGTCAGAAAGCGAGTCTAATGTTCCTCTTGATGAACCATCCACCTCCCCGGTGGCTGCTCCACTTGCTTTTCTGCAAAAATTCAGGCTTTACGAGACTCGATCGGTACTCTCTCAACCACTTGTGTTTCATTTTTTGCTTTGATCTGCTAATGTTTCCCCTTTTAACTGTTTCAGAAGTCAAACCATTCCTTTTGCTTACTTATTCCTATGTTCTCTTCCTCATGATCATGTTTGACATGAATGATGTCCATTCCTGTTCTAATAAGAAATCAATCTTGTATTCGTTTATGGACTTCCTGCAATACTGATGCCACTGTAATAGTCTTTTAGTTGCCCATTATCATATCTGTATGCCTTAGTCTTCATTGTTGGCATGTCACATATCTTTGGTAATTCCTAATACATTCTTCATTTTTAGTTTATTTGTGATATACTGATATACTACATGTATCTTCATTTCACACCCCTTTTTGCATACATAGTGCCTCTTTCCTGGATTACAAAAACAGATTTATGTATTTCTATATTCCTAACTCGCCCATGTATGTTCTTCAACTAACCAATTTTCCTCTTTTACCCTCATTGGGGTAGAAATATTACATGGTAGGAAGAGACAAGAGTCGCAGATACTGGAGGGTATTGAAAATTGACAGGTTAGAGACTTCTGAGCTTAGCATCCGTGAGGATTCAACAACTTATACAGAATGTGAATGTTCTGAACTCTTGAGAAGGATCCATGAGGGTAATAAATCCACAGGTGGACTCAAATTCATCACCACTTGCTATGGAATTGTTGGTATGTATATTTTTCAAACATATACACGTTTCACATCATGCATTTATTGATCTTGTATCTTTTTTTTTAGGTTTCATTAAATTTCTTGGACCATATTACATGTTGCTAATTACACAAAGAAGACCAATTGGCTCAATTGGTGGCCATATAGTATATGCAATCTCCAAGACTGAAATGATAGCCCTATCAGATTCTGTAACTCAGATAAATTTAACTACTTGGAGACATGAAAATAGGTAATCTTTTTTTTAATTCCTTCATACATTGGTAACATTTCATTCATTATTGACTTATTGTACTTTGTTTTGAACTTTTGATGTTTCTTTTTTCTTGTTGTAGATACAAGAAGCTTCTGTGCATGGTGGATCTTACAAAGGACTTCTTTTTCAGCTATTCGTATAATATCATGCGGAGTCTTCAGAAGAACAGTTGTAATGATGAAACAGGAAATGTTGTTTATGAGACCATGTTTGTCTGGAATGAATTTTTAACTCGTGGGGCCCGAAATTCCCTCCAAAATACTATGTGGACAGTGGCTTTGGTTTATGGTTTTTTTAAACAAGATAAACTTTCAATATCTGGACGTGACTTCAGATTGACTCTCATTTCAAGGCGTTCACGCCATTATGCTGGGACCCGGTTAGTTTTTTTTTAAAAAAAAAAAATCATCTTTTATATTCTTGATGGCATTTTAGTAAATTACTTTATATAGGTACTTAAAACGAGGGGTAAATGAGGAAGGAAGAGTTGCTAATGATGTAGAAACTGAGCAAATTTTGTTTGAAGATGTTCCAGAAGGATCTCCTATGAAAATCAGTTCTGTTGTACAAAATCGTGGATCTATTCCACTTTTTTGGTCTCAAGAAACTTCACGCCTCAATATTAAGCCTGATATTATGTGTATGATTAAATATTTTAATCAATTTCTTTTAAATATTATTAGTTAATAAATATATATTCTATTGACTGACATTAATCTTTTAGTGTCAAGGAGGGATCAAAACTATGAAGCTACAAGACTTCATTTTCAGAATCTTGTAAAGAGATATGGAAACCCCATCATTATATTAAACCTAATAAAGGTAACATTTTCATTATCATATGATTATAATCTTTTTTTTTTCTATTTCTGTATATGATATTATATTCTTCTTTTTTTCAACAGACGAATGAAAGAAGGCCTCGAGAGTCAATCCTTCGTACTGAATTTGCTAATGCAATTAATTCTATTAATAAAGATCTATCAGAAGAAAAACGTCTCAAATTTCTTCATTGGGATCTTCACAAACATTCTAGAAGGTTAATTAGTTGCCTTTTTGTTTCTTGTATATTTGTATTATGGTAATATTAAGTTATTCATTTCTTCTTTTTTCCAGCAAAGGGACAAATGCATTGCTAATTTTAGGAAGATTGACTTCTTACGCGTTGACTTTGACCGGTTTCTTCTACTGTCAAGTTATACCAGACTATAAACCCGATGGGTGCTTAAGATGGCCATATTTTGAGTAAGTTATTACTTTCAAATTCCAATCCATATAACAGTTTTGTAGCAACTTTTAGATACCCGATTTTTTTTTGATAATGGGTGAAACAGAAATGAAATTGGCAATGATGTGAAGAAGGAAAAAGAAAAGCATTGTGTGGAAAAAGATAACAACAACTTTGTTAAAGCACCAATGTTCCAAAAAGGGATTTTAAGGACAAATTGCATAGATTGTTTGGATCGAACAAATGTTGCACAATATGCATATGGTTTAGCTGCTTTAGGACATCAACTCCATGCTTTAGAAGCAATAACTTCTTCAAAACTTGAACTTGATGATCCTTTAGCAGAGGAATTAATGGGATTTTATGAGAGAATGGGTGACACTCTTGCTCATCAATATGGTGGTTCAGCTGCACATAACAAGGTATGTTTATAATTTTGAAAACTTTAATTTCAAGTTAAAAATTTGTAACAAAATGTTTGAATAATAATAATAGGTGTTTTCTGAGAGAAGGGGACAATGGAAAGCTGCAACACAATCACAGGAGTTTTTTAGAACTCTTCAAAGGTACTACAACAATGCATACATGGATGCAGAGAAACAAAATGCTATAAATGTGTAAGTAAACTAAGTCACTTTCTTTATTTAAAGATTAGGGTTTTCCTCCATTTGTCTAATTCCTTTTCAATTTATCAGATTTTTAGGGCACTTTCAGCCACAAGATGGGAAACCTCAAGTGTGGGAAGTGGATCCTGAGCAGTATTCTACTGTATATGGGAATGGACAATCAATGGTGGATGAAGATAGGAGGTAAACCTGAATATCTGATAAAAAGATTATTATTATTTTTTGATGTTATATTATTATTATTATTATTATTATTAGGTCTTTGCATAAGAAATCATTATCAGATGGAAATATTATACGTGAGAGCAAGTTGCCTCCTTCAAGCTCTAGTCTTGGAAAGAGTTTAGCTTCTTCTGATCAGAACAAAATGATGTCTGAATCTACACCAGATGTATTAGCATGTGGAAGTGGCTTGAAGTACTCAAGGTGTGTTTGATTTTTGTGTTTTAGTGTATAAAAAGCAAGGGCTAATTTGTCATTTTGCAGGGAAGCTTTTGGTGACTTTAAAGATGGATCATTTGATCATGAGAAATGTGACTCCTTTGACTGCTCGAACTTTGTTGACCTAGATTGGCTTTCATGTGAACAACAGTTTATGGACAGGTGTGCTTTTTATCAAATCATATTCCATATTTTTTATCATTACAATTTACAAATAAAATAATTCTTTTTTGCAGATCGATTTTCAAAAACTCTTCTTCAACGGCAACTGATAATGAAATTGTAGCACAAACAACTCCTTCCACCAGTGAATCCAGCATCAAGGTCAGTCACAAATCACAAACATACATAGAAATAGTTTTCTTTATAAATAAATAAAAATTCTAATTTAAATTGGTATTATGTTTTTATATATAATTCAGGGGAGCAAGCATGCTGATGATAATGATACCAATGATTTTGACGTTGGTGAGGAATTTTCAGATAGTTTTCTGAGTTGGGTCAACAATGGAGAGACTCTTTGTCATTGATGCTTATTGGGTCTAAAGTTGTATTCTTTTTTCAATTCAATGCGAGGAAATATCTATCAATTATCAAATATGCAATAGTTGAGAGAGAAAGAGAGGCCAGGGTTTAATAGTGAAAGTTTCTGTTGTTGGTGGGTTGGTTTTGTAAATATAAATGTATCACTACTATGATGAGGTATAGGAGATACGATGTTTGTTTCGGAAGCTGATTCTTAACAACCATATATAATATAAGTTATTTTTTTTTGAGTCATTTTTTTCCCCATTAATTTTATCAACTTGGTCTGTTGGATGAATAGATTCCTGAAATGAAAGATATATGAAAAAAACAATACAAATCCATTAGAATTTGCCATTATTTGAAGATGATAATTTTCGTCACATGAATTTACAACAGGAAGGAATTCTAGTTCTTTTACAAATGCAACAAATTGGATATCAAATTCCAACCCATCCAGGCCTTTTTATCACTAGGATTCACAAAATTCAAAGCAAACATCTCCTTGGAAGCATGCTCCCCCATTTCACAAAACCCCACAAGCTTCGCAACAATTTCAGCACTTTCTTTCACATGTCTCATATTCAAAGGATCTGTCCACAACCTATTCACAAGTTGCAGCCTTCTCCTCTGCTTTCCCTCCATTGGAATCTCCCATTTCTTATACAGCATTTCCCTCTCTTCACCACTCAGTTTCGTGCTCACCCTTTTTGCCAAATACTCCCTCTCTTGTTTCAACGCCTTTATACTATCATTATCAATTCAATTCACACTTAGTTTTTTTAACCCTAAAATTACAAAATATGAAATAACTACTAATACTGACCTTGATGTGACAGAGCCAGCTGGCTCATCTCCTAGCAGAGCTGGACTTGCGTTCCCGAGTTCTGACAAATGCTGTTCAAGCCACGTCAGCCTTCTGAGTTCCACTTGTACGTATATCTCATCAGCAGTGTCTCCTCTGAACAACATATAGAATTGTGTCCTATGTATGATTGAGACGTGACATAAATGCCACAACATTATTATCTGGTTTCTCTGTTCCTCAAACACAAGGTGACGTGGCATGATAGGATATTCCATTTCCTCCACAAAATCTGTCTCACCACCACCACCACCATCGTTTGCTTCCTCCAGCTCCAACACCTGCTCAAATCAAAACAGTAAAGGGCATTTTCGGAATTTCAGTGAAAACTTACTTTCTTTCTAAATTCTAACTAACCTGGCAGACTAGTAGCTGCTTTTGATATTGTAACTTTGCCACACGTTCTTTCAATTCAGTAACATAAGATTTAATGCTTTGAATATTATCTTCAGCTGCTGTTTTAAACATCATTTGAATCTTTTTCACATTTGGTTGCTTTGATGCAGCAGCAGGAGTAGAAGCCTTTTTGTCCCCTTCGATCTTTTGATTATCTGGAGCCATGTTCTCAATGTTATGAATAACTGATGAAGAAGGTGAACATGGAGATTTTATAAAACTTGACATTTTTCCATTTGTTTTCAAAATCTTGGTCTTTAAAGGACTCCTTGAAGCCTCCTCATTGTTGTACATAACCAATGTGTCTAAAGATTTCTGCACATTTTCAAGCTTTTCTTCCAAAGATGCAATCGTGTTTTCTTCACATTTCAAACGACCTATTTCCTCTTTTAAACTCGCTTTATCTTTAACTTCAATCTCCTCCGGAATGGAATTGCTGATTCCATGCATGTCTTTGATATCAGATAACAGCTTTGCAATGGTTTCAGCAGCATCTTGATTCCCAAGTCTGTGAGAGGAAACTTCTTTATGAAGCAATTCAAGTGCACGATTTGCTTCTTCACCTAATTGTCTTTGTCTCATCTCCACTTTTCTTATTTCATGCACCAACATGCATGGATCCATACATGTGGCTGATTGTCTTAATGGTTTTCTTTGAGTTGACTGAGTTGACTTTCTTACAGATGTTCGCCTGTTTGATATTGATATATGATCACTGAATGAGAGACGTTTGGCTACTTGATTCTGAATCACAGGCTCCTTTGTGTCTTTTTGTAGTTTTCTTGCTATTTCTAGCTGTGATTGTGCAAGGTCTCTTTCACGCTTTATCTCATTCAATTCTATCTCCATCTGTAACAAGATTCAAGATTATAAATAAAACCATTTTCTATTTATTTAATCTGATGTTAATACTAAATACCTGCTGGATTTTCTGCTCCTTTTCCAACAGCAAAGTTCTTAAACACTTTGAGGATGAAGCCTCTGGAGTCAACAATTCTGCTTTAAGTCTAGTCACTTCTTCTTGCAAATGCTTCACCATTTGCTTCTCTCCAACAACCTAAAAGTTAAAAAGAATTGGTTTTTTCTGTAATTTGCCAAACAGAAAAACATTAAGTCATCAAACAAGATTACAATTTCATCATACCATATTGACTTGAGCACTGTTTGTAACCTCCTTTGCACTATTTGCAAAAGCCAATGTGTTTCTTGATTGATCAACATGGCTTAATGCAGGACTCATAGTACAAATTATTGCAGTTCTTGCATTCCCCCCAAGTGATGATTGCAATATTCTTGTTAGTTTTGAATCTCTATATGGTATATGACCACTTTTCTTCCCAACACTACATTCAAGAAAACAACATTAAAATGTATGCTATTGTGGTTGCTTTAATTTCACTAAGTAACATTTTTTTTACCATATTCTTTTACCTTAGCTTTCTAATCACAGTTGTTAAAGTGAGTAGGCTTCTGTTGATGTGGCTTCCTTCTTTTAGCCTAATACCATCTGCATTTGTTTGAACAGTACGCTCACTTCCAGCAAGATCCACAAGACTCTGAAAGAAAATTAAAGAGGTAGGAAACAGCAGTCAACAAACAAGGAATGATCATAAGATAAAACAAAGCATTAAAGTGGGAAACATACCAAACTTGCTAAAAGGGATTTTACACATCCTGATTCTTCACGATGGCTACTCTCAATAGTCTACAAAAAAGGAAAGCCATTAAACAAATAACATGTCTGGAAATTAAGCCCAAATGTTAAGCTTACCAATCTGATTATCTGATGTGACCTTGAGCTTCTATCATTCAAAGAAGTTTCACCAACTTGCCTTTGAGCTGCAAACAGAATCAAGAATTGTAATGGGCTATTATTATAATTGGTTTACTATTTATAGTATTTACCTTCACAAGTTGCTATTAAGCACCTTAGATGCTGAGCATCTTTGATGACCTCCTCAGTTAGCTTCTCAACTATTGTGCCTTTCTGGATTCAAACAAAACAAGACACTTTAAACTTAAAAGAAAAAGATGGATATTTTATCTGTAATGAAAGCATTTGATGTGATGTGTTTAGTGTTTACCTCAGGATCATCCAAGAGACGAAGGGCACCAGAATCACGGTTTAACAGGTCTACCACTGTCTCATTATAGATTTCAAGAGCAGAAAGCTTCAACACAAATTTACTTTCCATGGCCTGTAAATTGTAAAAGACAGAATCATTGAACCTTACATTGTTATACAGCTAAGTGTTATGATTATGAGCACTCGTTGAATCAAAGAAATGAGGATTTACATTCTTAATATGGGCATAAATGTCATCGATAACATTCTCTGCTATTCCCCTCATGGTGTAAGTCTTGCCACTGCTAGTTTGACCATATGCAAAAATTGTAGCTGTAATGTAACAGAGAAGAGAGAGAGGTGATGTTATCGATATTAAATTTGAAGTCATAAACCTAGAAATGGTTCGAAAGAAGAGGAGAAGATTACCATTAATCCCTTTGATAGCAGAGAGGGCAACATCTCTAGCACCTTGCTCATAGATCTTCCTAGTTGGACAAGACGGATCGAAGACTTTATCTGAAACGCATCAAATCGCGTAAGAAAGAAACAGATTACGTACGTTGATGAAAGAAGATGATGTAACGGTTTACAGTACCAAAAGTGTAAGTTCCGTTATGGCGCTCGTGATTGAGGTTTCTTGAAACAACAGTATTCTCATCGGTGCAATCCCAAGCAATAAGATCATAGGCAGAAAGCTCTCGAGGAGTTAAGGGCCTGATTCTAACGGTGACCAGTATCTTCTCCTCGGCGATTCTTGGGCCACTTGGGGTTGAAGAAGGTGTTCTTCGGATCTTGGTTGCTGGTGTAACAGGCGCACTGACGCTCATCTTATGAACCATACCTTCATATATCAGTAAACTAGGGAAGTGTTAACGGGAATGGAGTCGAACACCAGTAAATGTAATTGTGAAAAAGAAGAAGAAGAAGAAGAAGCAAGAATCGAGAGAATCCATTGGAGGGAAGTATGCACTTACAGTTGTTGAACCCAGATCGGTGTTGGAGGAAGGGAGGGAAGGAAACAAAATCAAGAATCAATTTGTGAATTTGTTTTGGGTTGGATGTAATTTTGGGAATTGTTAGCTGCCAAGTTGAGAATTGGAGTTGGAGTGAGTTGAATTTGGGTTTGTGATTTCGGTTTTGCGTTGGATTATTAAAAAATATTAAAAATAAAAATAGGAATTGCAGTTTGCAACGGCTATGCCCCCCTCTTGAATACTACAATTTGAATGGAGGCGCCTGCCACGGTGGTGACTGACTGTTGGCACCAACGTGATTTAGCGCTCTTAATTACCAGATGCGGGATAAATGAGAATCAATTTATTGTTTTTTTTTTTTTTTTTAATTGTGATTCAAGTATTATATTTAAGGAAAAATGACTGGGGTAACCAACTATTAAACTTGTACAAAAATACCTTTAATTTTTTTTTCTTAACACATATCACAAACCAATTATAACGTTTGTATATGCATGACCATTAAACTTTACATTTGTACAAAAAAATATCATTACGTTACCGGTAACAGTAAGTTACTGGCCATATGACATATCACGTGGCTGCTGACGTAGATTTTACTATTTATTACGTACATATTATACTATTAAATTTTTTTTTGTACATATTTTACCATTAACTTTTTTGTATACATTTTACCATTAATTTTATATAACTTATTCAAAAAATATAATTTTAAAAATTACATATTATTACTTAAAAATAGGTTTTCCATCACCTTGACTTGGATTCTACTGGTTTTCTAAAGTTTAATAAACCTATCAGTATAAGTCATTTTCTTATCGGTAAACAACGATATAATTTCAATGTACTTTTTTAATCATCATCCACAATTAAGAAGGGGAGGAGGATTCTAATAAGGTAAAATGTACAAAATGTTTCCTAAGTTTATAAGTGTGCATCAAATGCGGTTTCCTAGGAAAATGACTTATAAGGGTACGTTTATTAGACTTTAGCTAAAATAATGAATAATTGAGTAGTTCTTGGCCACTCCAGAAGGAAGCCTCAAGTTCAAATCTTGTTGGTTTCAATCGATGTATGATCAACATAAATGTACAATGCAATTGTAAAAGAGTGCTTAGTATCATTGTCAAAAACAAACATTCTCCCTCAAACCTTACAAAATCAAGGAGTCATAATAGGTGATGGAAAACCCACATCAGCAGCCAAATGGCTGGTAATCTACTATTACCGATGATGTAATGATATTTTGAACAAAGATGATGTTTAATGGTCATATGCGTACAAAAGTTATAGTTGATTAGTGATATGTGTACAAACAAAAAAAATTCAATGATATTTTTTGTACAATTCTAATACTTCATTACCCTTGCAAGTCATTTTCCTTATATTTAATGACTTACTAAACTTTAGGAGGTGTGTGGTTACCGGACTGTCTTTTTTTATTTTTATTTTTTTTAAATAAATTTGAAAAAAGAATTAAAATCTTTTATGCGTTTAGCTCTATAAGTAACGAAATATGTTTTTTTGTTTGATTTGAAAATTTGACAAAAAAAAAATGAAAAGTAATTATGTAATTTCATCAAAATAATCTTTTTATTGATACTAATTATTATTTTTAATAAAAAATATAAAACTCTCATAGTCTCATTTACTTAAAATTTTCATTTAATTAGAAGTTTCATTTATTAAACTTGTACCGGTGAAACTTATTTAATATTAAATTTGTACATAATATATAAAGCGAAAATATAGCTTTACAAAATGAAAATATATAAATTCACTTGATAAAAATAATTAATAGATATCTTGTTTTTGGACTAAGTCTAAGTTACTTAGTCAAGTGATGAGTGTATATTTAAAAAGTTAAAGAAAGAAAAGGAAAATATATGTATGTGTGTGCATTTATATGTGTATATGGGGTTGGGTATCAATGTAAACGTGGGTATGGGTATTGATATAGGTGTAGGGGTAAGGGAGGATGGTAAAAGGTAGGTGGGGTTATAGGTGTTAAGGTAGGGTGGGGTTGGCGTTAATGTTGATGTGAGCTTGTGGAGATGGACGTACGAGTGTGTGTATAAGTATGAGTGTGGGTGTAAACGTGAATGTAAATATGGATATGGATGTGTGGTGAGGTGAGGTGGGGTGGGCGAAGTGAGGGTGTGTATATGGGTATCATGTAGTGGTAGTGTGGGTGTGGGTATGGGGTAGGGTAGGTGTGTGACAACCCAAAATTTATTTTTGTACAAACAGTTTAAAATCATTCAGTTCAAATTTATTTCTGCCATCGTTTAACATTATTTTGGGTCTATTCGGGTATTCTAAGCTCAGTTCACTCAAGGTTTGGGACCGAGAACGAGTTTTCTAGATCATAACATAGTATTCGGGCTAAACACCCCTTCGAGAGGAGTGTACGACCGCAAACTCGAGTTTACGGACGTACACCCCCACACACCCCTTGGCCGAAAACTCACCCCTATATAAAGGATGTTTGGCCTTCATTTCACACTTTACTCACTTAAAAGGCTTTCTCCCTCTACTCTCTCTCTCTCTCTCTACATCCATCGATTTTACTTAAGGATCTTCAAAAATGTAAGTGATCCTCCATCTTGATTGTGTTTCAATCTCTTATCTAGTGATGAATCCATGTTCCTACCTCATTTATCTCATCTTTGTCTAGATCTTCTCTTTCACCAAGAACACACACTAGTTCTTGGTGGTTAAAAACCCTCTTTTGAGCTTCCTAATAGTAAGTAACTGCTTCCTATGCTTGTTATCTGCTAGAAATGCTTGTTTTTCACCTGAAAATCGACCCAAAAGACATGATCATGGAGGGTTTACAGCCGTAAACCCATGTGTACGGCCGTACACCCTTTCATTGGCTGCAAACCCTAGCTTTTGGTCGATTATTGGCCTTAAACTCATCCTAAGGCTAAGTATGGGACTTAGAACACTTCCAAGGGGCTAGAAAGGACCTCAAGACGCCTCAAATACACACTTCATCATGAGTGTACGGACGCAAACTCCTTGGCCATACACCCATTGGGCCGTAAACCATGGGCTGTAAACCCATGGGTCGCAAACTCAGTTGGGCCGAAAACCCATGACCGTACACCCCTTTTCACGGTCGCAAACTCCGCTCTTTCAATCACATGTGATTCTAACTCTTAGTTTCAAGTGTTTCCTAGTCCCTAAGGTGGTTTCCTTCCACATATAATGATGTTATGTCCTAATCTAATACATATATGTAGGATCCGGTTGTGTCCGAGGCTTCACTTAACACTCAACATCCCTATCGACACGACATTCAAATCACACAAGCAAACAGTGAGTTCATACCCCTACGTTTTTTTTAAGGTTTTTAAACGTTTTCAAGGGGAGGAATACAAGCCAAACACAAAAGGATTTTTGTGAACTAAAACATGAATGTTTTCAACAAGTTAAAACTTATGCAATTGATATGATTGAACGTGTTTCATAAAACATATAGACATTTATTCCCTTTTATATTATACGGAGCATAAGGGACGTTTTCTAAACATAGTTGCATAGCTTTCATAACAGTACCAAAATACAACACATCAGTCAAACTATAACAAGTATAGTTTGAGGAATTCATTACCAGTTTTATAGATTCAAACTACGCACATGGTCAAACATATAAACTATGATAGATTTAGTTTATCCATTTCTACATACAGATAACAAGAGTATCATACTAAATAATTATTTTATGTATAATTATTTATACTCTACATAGTACACAAATGATTTCAAACATGAGAACAACAGAACAACACGTAAACTAGTTATTACAGGATTGTGAGACATCTCTTCATTGTACCATTCGGGGTACTGGTAAATCCTCTACATTTAGTATAGCCAGAGTCTCCTGGAGGGAGAGCGTGAGATTTGTGAATAGATCTATTCGGGACCGACAATCCTACACCTAAACTATTAGCTACGGTTAGGCAGGCATGCCTGGGGTGACAAATTTCGTAACATACGACGCCTGAAGAAACGTTGCGAAGGTCATCAGTCATATTATCATGGTTATACGAACTCAAAATAGTATAAACTAACATTTGTTTACAGGATTATCATTCTTCAATAGTTTTATTTTAATTAATAAGACTATTTACATACTACACTAGAGGGTATTCAAGGGATACAACATTTGGTTTTATTTTAAATGATAAGACTACTTTACATACTAGTGGTAACCAGGGTTTTCAAACAAGAGCATACATACTGGTGGTAGCCAGGGTTTTCAAACGAATCATACTATTCATACTGTAATCAACAAACATGATAGAAAATATTGGATTTTCCAGAAAAGTAAACAAACATTTATACAAATTCAGTGACTAGTTTTCAATTCAAAAACATGTTTATGAACTCACCAGCTTTATACTGATACATTTTCAAAACCGCTTGTATTCTCAGTACATCAATAGACAGGTACCCTAGCCGACTTTTGGAGAAGACGGAGCATTTTGGAATCTCATCTTTATCTTTTGCTACCTTTGATGTATACAAATCTTATATCAAACAAATGTAAATATTCATCTTATAATGTAATGGTTGTGTTTACTATGATTACTATGATGCAATTGTTGTGATACTACATATGATGTCATCCACCTCCGAACGTTTCCGCTGTTTGTTTTACGGTTCAGGGGTGTGACAAGGTGGGTGAGGGGGATGGTTGGTGACTGAGCATTGTAGATGGGTGGTGTGGTGTGGGGTGGCGGTGGCGGTGGTCATATGAGTATGAGTGGGTGGGTGTTGGTGGGGTTAGTGTCGGGTAAGGTATGTGTGGAGTTGGTTGGGGTGCGTATGTGGGTGTGGGTGTTTGTATGTATATGTATAGGTTGGGCATATAGTTGTGAATGAGGGTTGTAACACCCCGACTCTCAGGTATAAATTTGTCAGTCTTATAATTCCATTTTTAAGGTCGAATCGACGAGTTGGATGCCCTGACTCGTCGAGTAAGAACGGATTTGGCCGTGTGTTTAAGTGACCAACTCGGTGAGTTGGAGGAAACGACTCGACGAGTTGGAGCTGGAGGATGAAACCCTAATTTCTGGGGTTTTGCACCCTATTTAAAGGGTCATTAGCCTCCCTTACAACCCCCTTTGAGCTCGGAAACCCTAAATCGTGTTTTCTCTCCATATTTGTGTGTTTTTAAGCTTGGAAGGTGGATCTTGGTGAAAGGAGGTTGAAGATCATGAAGATTGAAGCAAGAAACGGTTGTAGATCCAAGTTCTACTCCAGTTTAGCATCACTTAAAGGTAACAAGTCATTACCTTGATCTCCTTCTAGCTAGATCTTTATTATATTTGAGTTTTGGAGCCATTTTAGCATGTTGGTTTTTCATTTCGGGTGTTAGACCATGATCTGAAGTTGCAACTTCTGATCTAGGCCCATCGTGTCCCTTATAATCATAAAGCTTCAACCTTTAGCAAGATAATGCCTTTTCCCCACCTAGAACTTCTTTTTAGCTTGATTTTGGCATTAACACCTTGCATATACATAAAGTTTGCAACTTTACGTAGGAAGTAT